CATCTTTATCTTCCCAATGAGAAAGACAAAAGAGAGTTGCCCTGAGGTCACTGGACAGTCAGCTGGAATCCAGTCCTGTTTCCTTTTACCCAGTCTTGGTTAGAAATCACCATCTTCATAATTTTTAATGATTTATTTTTTCCAAATGGTTATGGCAGGCTATTCCACCTCCTTCGTGTCCAAATCTAAATGATATAGTGGGCCCCTTACCACAGGCAGTCACTATCAGAGAACCAAAGCTCTGTAACAGAAAGGAATTTTTCAAATAACAACAGATTATCAACGCTGAATGTTTTCTTCGAAGTGTCACATTTATGAAGGGAAGTGTAGCAAGTTAAGTATCCAAGGGTACCCAAGAAAAAGGCTTAGGTATTATCAGACTCACATCTATGGTTAAATTGACCCCTCTCTTAAAACTGGAGAACCAAAGTTCATATTTCCATAGTATAATATATATGTGGATTCAAGGTTGCAGATGAAGTTGCTGAAGCTTCTAGTACAATATGAGGATTCCTTTGACATCCAAATGTAAATTTGACTCAGACTGAGGTCATTAAAAAGAGTGAGGAAAAAAAGGACTCTTAGCTGGGTCAAATGTAGAGGCAATGTCCAGGGCCATATTTGACAAGCATTTTAGAAGGTCTCTGACATCTCTGTTAAGTTCTTATCTTCTCGGAGAGATCATCTAAAGCCATGGCTTCATTCATTACTTATAAGCTGAAGACCCAGCTCTTTTCCTGTCTCAAATTTTATCTGTACCTCCTTCTCATATCTCCAACTACCTGTTGTATATTTCCTCCTTGATGTTCTCTGTGTCCTTGATATCTCAAATTACCTCCTTCTCATATCTCCAACTACCTGTTGTATATTTCCTCCTTGATGTTCTCTGTGTCCTTGATATCTCAAATAGAATCATTCATTTCCTTTAACAAATCTAAAGCCTAGTCTGACTAGCCTACATGTTCTGGGCATCAGTGTTCTCCAAGATATCCTCTCTCACAAGCTCCTGGTCATCAGAGATTCCCTTCCTCTTTCTCTTACACTCTATAGAAGCCTTATTTTATTAGTTCTTCCTTCACAGGCTCTCACTTTTACTTCTTTTCATGACCCAGAACCCTTCTTGCCTGCTCTATTAAGATAAGATAACCTTGTCACACTGGTTTCCTGCCCGGAGCTCTCCCCTGCTCCAATCTAATTCATAGTATACAGAAATAGCCTGAGACCAACTGAGAATGATTGAATCCAGCCTGTTAGGTTAAAAATGGCGCCAAAAATGGGCTCTAAAAAGCGTAAGCCAAAGTTTTTATTGGAATTCCTCCCCCACGTGTCACATGAAAGAGGAATTGGACTATTTCTTGGTCCAAGAAAACAGCCATTGAGTGAACAATAAGAGGGAGCAAATTTTAGACTCGTTAGAAGAGCCTTCCATGGATTCAAGCTGTAGTACAGTGGAACAGTACAAGTACTATATGTGAATGGGTTCTCCATCCTAGATAATCACTTCTCAGTCATTTTGTAGCAAGCTTACATGCTTTAGACCACATGGCCATTAAGGTCTTTTCAAATTCCAAATTTTTGCAATAGAAACACAGCTCTCCCCATCTCTCCCTCTGCCTTCCACTTACTGGGAATCCAGAGTCTATTCTTGCTGTCTTCCCTCATTTCAAATCTACAGTGAATGAACATTGTCTCCTTCAGACAGATGTTCCCCTGCTTACCTCATCCCATGGCTTTTCAGTCTAAGTTGCTGTCACCATGGGCCCTTTAAGTAACCTGGAGGGTAAATTTGCTTATTAAATACCTCTGACGTGCCAGGATTTATGCCCAGAATTTTTCCTAATTTGACTAGTACAGTGTACCTTGAATACTGTGGGTTTGAGGGGTTTTTTTTAGCCAACTTCAAAGAAGGGGAAACCTAATATCTTATAGGTGGTAGGTGACAAAGCTGAAACTGAACCAGGGTTTTCTAACTCCAAGGTCTGAGTACTTGAGAAAAGAGACAAAAGGAAGGAGTGGAGTAATAAAAGGCCCCTCAACTAAGGACTGTGTGAGTTAGGGGGTTATTCACAGGGAATCCTACATTGAAAAAGTACATCAGGCATTTTTATCTCAGTAAGTATTAAACTATATGTGTTGCCAGCAAAATTCATAAATTCTGATGTTTAAAATAGCTACTGGGAGCTAACAAAAAGAAAAAAGGGAGCTATAATATATTTGATTAAAACATAAAAGAACACTAATTACGGTGCATTTGTGTCATGTGCCTAGTAATCATGTAACATAGTAACAAGTATTCATGTCCTTCAGTGTGTATTAGATTAGCATTGCATGAATTATTAATTTTAACATTACTATGTTTTGATATACCTAGATTCCATGTAGCAAGCTATCTAATCAAAATTTTTTTAGGGACGCCTGGGTTGCTCAGTTGGTTAAGCGACTGCCTTCGGCTCAGGTCATGATCCTGGAGTTCCGGGATCGAGTCCCGCATTGGGCTCCCTGCTCAGCAGGGAGTCTGCTTCTCCCTCTGACCCTCCCCGCTCTCATGCTCTCTCTCTATCTCATTCTCTCTCAAATAAATAAAATCTTTAAAAAAAAAATTTTTTTTTTTAATCAGAAATGCTAATAGTGAGGCACTAATAGGAAGAGGTTGGGGTGGTAAGTAATGGACATGCTCAGCACTGTGTGTTGCACATAATAAATATTTATTGGATCTGAGTCTAGCATCTGTATCAGTAATGAAGTAAAAGGTCATGTCATCATTTTGTTTTATTCCCTAATATAAGTAACCACCAAAATTTTCAAAATCATGTACCCTTTGATATACTATTTCCACTTTTAGGATTCTATACTCACACATAATTTAATCAATCAGTACCCTATTGTTTATGACCCTGTCTTTGTGAGCTGAAAATGAAATTAGAAGAGAACAGAGTTGTTGAATGCCTACTATGTGCCTAACACTTTAGGTTTATCTGCTTAATTGTCAGTTAATCCTGAGAAGTAGATATATCACCTCTTTTAAGAATAAGAAAACTGGGGCACCTAGGTGGCTCAGTTGGTTGAGTGTCCAACTCTTGATTTCTGCTCAGGTCATGATCTCAAGGTTGTGAGATAGAGCCCTGCATCAGGCTCTCTGCTCAGCACAAAGTCTGCTGGAGATTCTCTCTCTCTCTCTCCTTTTGCCCCTCCCTCCACCTCTCTGTCTCTTTCTCTCAAATAAATAAATAAATAAATAAATCTTAAACAACAACAACAAAAAAAGAATAAGAAAAGGACTGCCATGGCTCAGTTGGTTAAGTGGCTGACTCTTGATTTCAGCTCAGGTCATAATCTCAGGGTTGTGAGATCATACCCCAAGTTGGCTCTGCACTGGCCGTAGAGTCTGCTTGAGATTCTCTCTCTGCCCCTCCTCACCCTGCTCACCTGTGCTTTCTCTCTCTCTCTCTCTCAAAAGAAAAAAAGAAAAAAGAGTAAGACAACTGAGGCCCACAGACAAGTATCTTGTCCAAGGTCATATAGGTAGTAAATAACTGATCTGGGATTTGAACTCAGATATCTCTAGGTCCAAAACCTATGTTGTTTCCAACATATCAATGACTTAAACATTGGATTCTTTGGAAATGTCTGAGGTGGTGAAGGAGGCCAAGGGGAGGCTGATTGGGTGGAACTCATGTCCCACACTCGCTTCAGCTACAACAATTAAAAAAAACTTTTCTAGGGACTCCTGGGTAGCTCAGTCAGTTGGACATCTGACTCTTGATTTCAGTTCAGGTCATGATCTTAGGGTTGTAAGATCAAGCCCCATGTCGGGCTCCACGCTCAGCGCAGAGTCTGCTTGAGATTCTCTCCCTCTTCCTCTGCCCCTCATGCTGGTGCTTTCTCTCTGTCTCTCAACTAAATAAATAAATAAATAAAATCTTAAAAAAAAATTTTTAACCATTTTACTACGTCATGTATTAGTATGGGGATTTAATATTAAGAAGAATTTTCACACAGTTCTATAATACATACTGATAGGTTGTTGTCTTATTAAAAATGAAATAATCTATCATTAGCCATCAGTTGGGGAGACCTGAGTGGGTTGGAAAAGGCATCCAGGAGTCATAAGCATTTATTTTAATTCAATTGATTCCATTCAGAATTTTGTAAAGATGGGGGTGGGAGGTTTGAGATAATAAAAGTCACCTAAACCTGGACTAGTCTCAGCTTAGTCTTCAGAGTAAGGATTCACAAAGAGGGGCCCCACAAAGCTGGATGGACCTGTTTTGGTCAAATGTTCACAACATTGTATCAGCACAACTTGATGTTACACTTAAGCCACCTAACAAAACCCACACCACCACACCCAGTGAATGCTAAATTTGTTATTATTTTAGGAGAGTGCTCCTAGACTTAATCTATCTGATTTATTTATTTGTTTGTTCATTCATTCATCCATTCATTTATTCTGGAGGTGGTCGGAGAAGGTTGACTACAAGGTGAGTTGGAGATGAAACTTTGAGACCCACTCACTACACTAAATCAGATTTTTGTGGTTGGGATTTGTTTTCTTATTGAAAGGTGTGGAAACGTATAAAAATGTTTGAATATTCTTTCTAAACCTCTCACATACCTTTATTACTTTTAAGGTGGGGGCAGGGGTGGTATGGGATGGGTGTTAAATTACTCTTCCTAGGGGGAAAAGAAAAGTAAGCTTTTTCCCATTACTTAATTTGTATTACAGATTCCTGTCAGCTCCTATAGAGCAAGCAATGCAGTTTCATGTGACAAAGGTTGAAAAAAAATCACAATATAGGCCACAAATGGAGGTAGAAATGAAGAAGTTAAAAAGCATATTACTTGTTTGAAAAGTATCCAGGGTCAAAACTTTTTAGGATGTAAAAGCCCAGGTGAACTTTGGGCTATTTCCTCAAGCAACAGAGACCTCTGGCTAGAGAAGTGTATTTGTAGTCTCCTGCTCAAGATTTTACCTGATTCTTATTTTATTTTTATTACAGTTGCTACATTGATGGCCGGGTGGTCAAGGTGATGGACTTCCTGAAAACTCGCCTGTTAGACACACTCTCTGACCAGATTAGGAAAATTCAGAAAGTGAGTAAAAGTCTCCTGGGAAGAAGTGAGTTTGGGGGTAAGGCCAGGAAAAGGTCTCAGGGTCCCAGCTGGACGTCAGCACTGTGGGAACCAGGGTAGAAAAATAGTATAGTTTAGAGCTCTTTTTCACAGCTGATTGTTGTTTATTGTTTTTCAAATTGAGAATGGTTTTAATGTGCCATTTCTGGGTTTAAAAGCTTTTCTATTTTAATAACGACTATTTTGTAAGAGTTTGCTTCTGAAATGTGAGTTTCTTAAGGGAAGGATAGATTTACTTTGTTATTTTCTTTTTGCAAGGGTTTATTTAGGGCTAGTTTATGGAGAGAATGATTATATTTATTCAGGGAAATTCTGGTCTGGGGCATCGGCCATGTTTATACTATTCTTTAGTGTTAAATATCTGAGCCATATTAACACTATTCCTAGGTGTCTTAGAATCAGTCAAGTAACATCTTACTTTTGTAGAGATGTGGGGGAAACTATATTATATTAAGCAGTTGCACGTAGGTCCCATTAGCAAGATACCTTTGGTCAACAGTTCTCAAACTTGAGTGCAATCAAAATCACCAGAGATTGCTCATAAAGTTTGCAATCTCACTCCTGATGTTCTGATTTAGTGTGTCTGGAGTGGTAGATACCAGACATCTCTATTTTTTCTTTCTTTCTTTTTTTTTAAAGATTTATTTATTTATTTATTTGACAGAGAGAAAGACAGAGAGAGAGGGAACACAGGAGGGAGTAGGAGAGGGAGAAGCAGTCTTCTTGCTGAGCAGAGAGCCTGATGCGGGGCTCGATCCCAGGACCCTGGGATCATCACCTGAGCCGAAGGCAGACGCTTAATGACTGAGCCACCCAGGCGCCCCAAGACATCTCTATTTTCAGTAGTCATTTTGAAATACACTGGATTAGTTCATTCTGAATTAAGGTGAAGATCTTATATCTGTAATTTCCATCTGCCTCTACAAAATGAGATCACATCTTTTGTTGCCTAGCCAGGTCAATTTTCCAGGAAATGGGGTCCTTTTGAACACTCACCTATCTCTTGAGCAGATTAAACAAATCTTTGCAGAAAAATAGCAATGGGTAGACCCCCATTAATATGGGATGAATGAATAAATGAATGGACAAATGAATAAATGGATCATGTATAAAATTAGCTGTGAAAGAAAATCATATTTGGAGTATAATCATAAAAAACCACTCTTGACTGGTAAAGTGGTACCCTTTTTGGTATTCAAACCAATGTCCTGCTCAGATTACAAAAGCTTTTTGAGTCCCCATGTTCTCAAAAGGTTTTAGCAGCTGGGAAGCCTCAGGACTTCTGGACTCCTGCATCCCAGTCTGATCCCTCTGGAGATCAGGTGCATTGGCCAGTGTCCTTATCTGTCACTGCCTCCTACAAGGCAAAGCCTGGGCGAACTAAATAATTTGAAATATCTCTGCCAGTCTCTGTTTGACATTCATTTCGTTTTTAGTATTTAAATATTTAATATTTATTGAGCACTTAGCAAGTACTAAGCAAAGTGCCAGGTGCTGGGGATACAAAATGGAATAAGACATGGTCTCTGCCCTGAAGGAACTCACAGTTTTAAAATTTAACAGTTGTTTTAAGCAGGTTAAAAAATGTTACTTAAGGCAGTTGAATATCAACCTATTGAACACTGCAAATTTCTAAGCACTTCATGCTAATCTGATATTAGGTATCATTCTCTAAAAGGAGGGGGGAAATTTCTTTCATTTGTTTATTCTTCCATCCAACAGATGTTTATTGAGTGTATACTAGGTTCCAGGCACTATGCTAAATGTTTGTATTACAACAGTGTACAAGATAGACAATCCCTATGTTTTTGGCTTTTCTGATATCAAATCTAATGACCTGATCAAAGAGCTGTCATTGGCAGTAAAATGATTCAGTGGTATCATGGCACTGAGACTGCAGGTTCTAACTGTGCTCATGTAATTATTTAAGCAGAACACGTAACTCTAGGTCAGAACTAAGACAAAGGTGTTGGGAGTTAGGTTCTTCCCTTTCTCTGCACTACCCATCTCCTTCCACCTCTGGATACTTCTAAACCACCGTAGAATGTTCAGAGACTGAAATAAGTGGCTAAGCTCATCTTCTCATTTGTCCACAAAGTCACAAGACTTGTTCACTCACAGGTCTGGCAGTTGATGCCAGCTGTCAGCTAGCACCTTTGTTGGGCTGTTAACTGGAATAGCTACATATGAACCTTCTATGTAGCCTGGGTTTCCTATCAAGGTTCAAAAGTCAGATGCCCAAGAGCGAGAGTCAGGTGGAAGCCGTACCAGCTTTTCTAACCTACCCTCAAAGTCTTAGGGCTTCACTTCAACCATAGTCTATTCATTGAGACAGTCAGCAAGACCAGTGGAGATTCAAGAAGAGAGGAAATAAATTCCTTTTGATGGGAGAGTTGCAAGATTCTGGAAGAGCTTTAGAACCAGAATGATTTTTGCAGTCATCTTTGGAAAATACTGTCTGCCACAGTTTCATCCTCCCTGTATTATTTAGTAGCCCTTCATTTCCCTGTCTAGTTTTCTTTTCCCAACTCTCTTTTACAAAGCTCTTGCCAGATTATGCCTTAAATGGGTATCTGCTGGAGGTGTTGCTGGATCACAGATTCCCTAAGATTTGATTTATGGGGTAGGCTTTCCATTGGCTGCACAGCCTGGACATAGTTGCTAAGGTTTCTAGGATGAGAATCTCGCTCACCACAGCCCAGGATGTGCTAGGTACTGGTCTGCTCTGGGGAGATGGGGACTAGGAGACCAGAGAAGGGTCACCATGTTTTGCCAGTTAAAAAGTTGATTTGGCTGTTCCTGAGGTCCTGTGTGGGTGGGTGGGGGGTCTGGAAATCAGAGTCCAAGGTGCACACTGGGACAGACTGGCCAAGCTTCTTTCCTGGAGCTTCCAAAACCAGTTTAGAGATGGGCCAAGTAAGATTTTAATATGTATATACCTAGAACCCCCATCCAAAAGCTAAAAGTAGAATCTTTGTTTCTACTCTATTTTGAGAAGCTCACAGAAATTCTAATAATTCCCCTTAGGCCTACAGTGATGGAAAAAGGCAGATTTCTTACCAAAATCAATCCATGAAGGAGTGGTTAGATAAATCAGTGGTGAGACCGTGTTTGAATAAGAGATAGAATGAAAACAGGATTTGAAGTCGGATGGCTTGGGTTGGAGCTCAGGCTTAGCTGTGTAACCTTGGGTTATTCACTTAACCTCTCTAATTTGTTTCTTCATCTTTAAAATGAGGGTGCTAAGAATACTATCATCTCTCCCTTTTAGGGAGATTAGGAAATTCACATGAGGCCTTACTTTGTTAATTGCTATTGAATGCTAGTTCTTATTGCTAATATTATTGTTATTTCAGTTATTCTAGTTTTTTTTTTATTTCTTTCTTTTCTTTTCTTTCTATTTTTATTCCAGTAAAAATATGGAACACTTCACAAATTTGTGTGTCATCCTTTTGCAGGAGCCATGCTAATCTTCTTTGTATCATTCCAATTTTAGTGTATGTGCTGCCGAAGTGAGCACTATTATAGTTATTTTTAATAATAATTTGTATGACTGGAGAAGCTTCCTGCTACCTTTATCCTCAACGTGTTCTTTGCTTTTTTTCTCTTTCCTCTTTCTTGGAACCCTGGGGAATATGGTAGGTGATATTTTTGGCATCTGAAAGGCAGTGACTCAATTGCTAAAAACAGCTGTGGTTTTCAAATTTGGACTGCCACTTACAGAAGAATTCTGAAATTTCTGAGCAGTGGGCAAATTCTGGTATATGAAATTCTAAATTATGTATTCGAAAGCCAAAAAAAGACAATGTTTGGACAAGCCATTCCTTTGGATGATCTACACATTCTCTCCCTTCCATTAGAATAAGGATAATCATCTGTACTTTGGGAGACGAGTCAGGGGAAAGAGTTGAGAATCTAACAATGTAAGCAAGAGTCAGATGGGAAAGTAAGAGATGTTTAGGATACGGTACAGATGGTATAGTGTGGATACCTGGGCTGACTCCAAAACAATGACATAAGAACCAAGAAGAACCACTTTGGCTTAAGTCACTTGGACTCTATGATTTGTGTCTGCGTCTCCTAGAGGAATCAGAGGAGGAAATAACACTTTTTGATATTATTTTCAGCAATTTAATAAGCACAGGAAGGGGTTGGTGAAATCCCAGTCATAAGGGAAGTAGTTCCAAAAGTATTGTCCATATGATTACATTTTGAATACTAAATAAACCGAACAATTGGCTTCCCTAATATTTGAAAAACTCCTTCCTTCTTTCTTTCTTCCTTTCTTTCCTTCACTTGTCAACTGTTTATAACATTCTTAGTTTTTTCCAGACCCCTGAGGATAAAATGGTGAACAAGATTTGCATGGTGGTTATCCTTATAGACCTTGTGCTCTAGTGGAAAAACAGTTAATGAAGCAAGCAATGATAATAAGATGTGATGACTCTTGGAACAGGGATGTCTAGGGTGCTCTGTGAGTGCTCACATTCACTCCATGCGAGCCCGTGGTGGGAAATATCTACGTCAGTGTGTAAAAGAAGGGGAAGCCGGGAAATCCTTCCAGAGGAAGTGACATTTAGGTTAACACCTAAAGGACAAACACCTTCTAATTTATTCAGGTCTGAGCATGTGAACAGAGGACTAGTAGTGTTAAATATATATAGGAGAGGGAATGGTTTGTATGGTTCATATTATGACCATGATTGTTCTTTTGTTAATATCATCATTGCTTATGATTGACTACAATATTTAATAAAGATGAACTCTGGGGCGCCTGGGTGGCTCAGTCGTTAAGTGTCTGCCTTCGGCTCAGGTCATGGTCCCAGGGTCCTGGGATCGAGCCCCGCATCGGGCTCCCTGCTCCGCGGGAAGCCTGCTTCTCCCTCTCCCACTCCCACTGCTTGTTTTCCCTCTCTCGCTGTATCTCTCTCTGTCAAATAAATAAAATCTTAAAAATAAAA